TCGAGACTCTCACACTCTCTCTAAACCTACGCGCCTAAGCTTCTCCCGATAAACTCATCTAACCCTCTCTTCTCTCTCTCTCTCTCTCTCTCTCTCATTCATGAAGCTCTCTCTTGCCACTGGTTATGATTCTATGGACCTATCTATCTAGTCTCAGTTGAAGCTCTCTCTCTCTCTCATCTCATGTGAACCTTTCTCTTTTCCCACTCGCTATGGTTCTATGGACCTCCTATCTCTCTACCCTCGACTAAAGCTCGCTCGCACTCTCCCTCACTCTCTCTCCCCCTACCTCTCACAATTATTATTAAAAAATATTTGTATTATTTTGTTTAGAGGAAAGTTTCCTTGGTGTTTTATAGGGTTCGATTTCTTTGATTAAGTAGTTGTTACCTTTTTCTTTTTAGTAACTTTAGCTAGGGTTTTGGCCAGGAGATATCTTTGGAAGGGAAAATTGACTGGACTTACATCATACAAAGATGGTAAGCACATGAGATATTTCGACAGTTCAACGTACTAGGCCAATAGAGTTGTAAAAATCGAAGGTACCTCGCCATAGAGATAAAACAGAGAAGGGTTTAGTTGATTAGATTTTGATGAGGTCAGAGTATATCTTGATGAGAGCCAAGGGACTGTGAGATCCTTATATATGATGATTGGCCTTTAGAGACTGGGTTAAAACCTTATCTTAGTATCACAACACGATATGTACATAGATAACCATAGTTTGATAGTGATCCACCATTGATGGTGAAGCATGTGCAAGTGTGAGAGATTACCCCTATGCACCATAAGGTCGTAGTTGCATCATGGTCTGAGGGACCATAGTTTTGTCTCTAGGAGAAAACCTGAAATCCACATACTGGGATTATATCCCCTAGCCCATTGGCGGACTTATGCAGTCCAATCAGGAGTCGCTATAGTGGACTGTGGGTCATGAAAACTGCTAAGTCAGTTTAAGAAAGCTAGTGTGGATTGTGGTTCATTGTTGAAGGTGGAGTACTCCAGTATATTGATAATTCCTACCTATACGGATCCAATTTCTATCAAAATTAATTAGTTTTAATTAATTTTATATTATATGTGTTTTTTAGAATACTTATTGGAATTTTTGTGATTATCTTGATATTTTAATTTTGTCATTTGAATTTATAATATAAATAAAATCAATTATCAATGTTTTAATAAACAAGAGAAATAAAGTTCTATTTCTAAATATTCTAAAATCAAATTAATTTTTAATAAATACATGGGGGACCCACCATAAGGAGTGAGACCCACCTTAAATTAAATACATGGGAATTTGCATGGAGACCTCCAATGGTCACCGTGGGAGGCACACCCCACTCTAAGGGTGTTGCTTTCTATTTTTATTTGCCATGAAGTTCATGACATCCAAATTGAGTTTTATCTTTTGGGAAGTTTTAAATTGAAAGAAGGTTGAAAATTCAAGATGACAAGTGTAAGAGAATTTTATACAAGATTGTATAAATAAGGAATGAATATTCATAAAAGAGAAGTCAGAGAAGTATTTTCTTTATTTACGTATTTGATGGGAATAAGGTTCTAGCATCTTTTTTGAATCTTGATATTGGATCTAAGAAATGGATGACTCAAATCTCTTATTCCACAAGTCTCTTTAGATTGATGGTCAATATTTGACCCTACGAATTGAGGCAAACCCAACAGCATAAAAAAAGCTATAAAAAGGTGACTCTTCCCTTTTACCAAATCTCTATACCTCGTCTCTCTTCTCTCTCTCTCTCTCTCTCTCTCTCTCTCTCTCTTTCTCTCTTTCTCTCAAAAGATTTATCTAAAAGGGGGCACGCCCCAACCTAGGATTTCTCTCTCTGTCTTCCTAAGTTAACAAGAGGGGTACACACCAACCTAGCAATATCTCTCTCTCTCAAGCAAACCTAAGGGGCACCCCCTACCTAGTATCTATGTCTCTAGAGTTTATAAAGGAGCACACTCGATGCTATGATTGGTTCTTGATTTGTGGGTAGTAAAGTGGAGCATCCCCTAGTTAGTAGATCTCTTCCTCCCTTTTTGATTTCTATCTCTCATCACTTGAGCAAGACTAAGGCATTGAGGTATTAGATAATTGGTTCTAGATCGAGATCTATATGCATTTGAGAGAGTTTTGCTATAAGTAGGAGAATCAAGAGATTGATCATAGATCCCGAGAACCATCAGAATGAAGAGACTCGGCGTGAGCTGTACTAAGCCCGGTTGAAGTAATCTCCGACAATTTTAATTATTTAAATTTTATTTTTATGTTGTGCTCTTCTATTCCCATAAAGCAATGAGTTAAAGTTTTTATTCAAGGAATTATATTCAATAGTGGTAGTAAGTGAGTGGTCTTGCGATTGGACATTGTGAGTGGTCTTACCGGTGTAACAATAAGAAAAATAAGAAAATGCTTAATTTATATACACTGAATGCATAGTCCAACTTTTCAAATAGATCATGAGTTTGATCTTATCTTGTGCTTTTTTTGGCTTTTTATTTCTTTTCCCCTATAAATTAGGCCCCTAATTTTATCTTGTTTCTTAATTTTATTGATTCATGGTTTCACTTTCGTTTTTTTTCTTGTAGAGATCGTAGCCTCACATGGTTGGATGTTTAATGTTTTAGAGAATTTTTCGTGATTTGCACCTTGGTGAAGTTTGACTTATAAACTAATTCCAAAAAAATAATTGGAATAAAATAGATTTTGGCTTTATGGCGAGGTCAGGCTCGTTACTAAACACAAAGGTTTCAAGCCCAAACCAGCCCTAGCCTTAAAGCAGTTTGGGGTGGGCTCGGCTAGTCTTGGACTATTTCCACTATCTCTACAAAGGAATTCACATTTTTGTCTTAATATAGTACTTGACGTAAAATTAATATGCTGTGGTTTTTGGCGGGTGTCGACACACCAAAAATATGACACTCAAACGTTAATTTTTAGGTTGGTGTTCGAAATGTCCTCACTATATAGAAAACAAACACTTGCCGTTGTCCTTGTGACGTAGGAAGGACCCAATTATGACCATTTGTTTTGCTAAGAAAATTATGTAATCAACATGGAATGTATAATCAATATGTATGGGAAAGCAAGGTATAGTATCTTGTATTTTATGTTCTTGTATTTTACAAGAACAAAGGAGACAAATATAGTTGTACAAACTATTGAGGGATCAAGCTTATGAGTCATACTCTGAAGCTCTGAAAAAAGTCATTGAGCAACGACTAAGGCATGAAACCAGTATATATGAAAACCAATTTGGTTTTATGCCATGAAGGTAAACAACTAAATGTATTTTCCTACTTAGGCAACTGATTGAGACGTTTAGGGCGAAGAGAAAAGACCTCCACATGGTCTTTATTGATCTAGAGAAAACTTATGATAGAGTACCTTGATATTTGATTTGGTGAGTGTTAAAAAAAAAAGGTGCCTCTAGCCACTACATCGATTTGATAAAAGATATGTCAGATAGAGCGCTAACTAGTGTACAAAGAACTAGTGGAGTGACGAGCGAGTTTTCATTGACAATAGGTCTACATCAAGGTCAACATTGAGCCTGTACCTCTTTGTTTTAGTTATGGATGAATTTACCAAGCACCTACAAGATGAGGTATCGTAGTACATGTTGTTCGCAGATGATAGTTTTGATTGATGAGACCCGAAATCATATCAACAAAAAATTAGAATTTTGGAGGGATGCTCTAGAATCTAAAGGATTTTAAATTAGTTGAACTACGATAGAGTACATGGAAGGCAAGTGTACTATTAATAGGAGTAGAAGTGAGAAGTAATCAAGATTGACCACCATGAAGTACAAAAGAGACCGCACTTTCAAAATCTTAGATCGATGATTCATGAAAATAGAAAGATCGACGAAGATGTCGTACACAGAATTAGAACTAGGTAGGCGAAGTGGAGATGTGCAACTGGATTTTTATGTGATCTCCACATACTAATGAGGAAGAAGGGTAAGTTCTATATGATAGTGGTGAGACCATCTTTGCTCTATGGGGCGGAATGTTGAGCGGACAAAAACAATATACTTATAAAATAAATGTAGCGGAAATGAGGATGTTGAGATGGATGAGTGACAAAACAAGAAATAATAGAATTCGAAATGTACCTATTCGAGAGAATTTAAGCGTGGTACCAATAAACAATAAAATACGAGAGAGTAGACTTAGCTAGACTGGCCATGTGCGGCGACGGCCAAGTACAACACTGTTAGGAGGTACGAGTTAGTTCAAGTGGAAGGACTGAAAAGGGCAAAAGGTAGGCCCAAAAAGACGTAGTTGGAAATAGTTTGCAAAATATGAGGACTTATGGCCTCATTGAGGATATGACATTTACTAGAGCAGAATGGAGAA